GCCGAGTTTAATTACATTAAACAAGCAACCTTTATTGAACGATTTACTGCTTTAAAGGTAATCGTAAAGGTGAAAATGACGGGGAATCCCAAAGAGAGCATCATCACATCAATGGAAATTAAATTCAAACAATTTCAATTTGATTTTACCATCAACTTTCAAGCTGCTGAACGTGCGAATCGTAAATGAATTTTACGATTGATCGAATTTTCCAATTTAATGAGAGAATAAAACATAAAAAAAGAACAAAAAATACGAGAGTTGTATTAATGAACGGCAGCGCAGGTAAAATTGAAATCCGAGTCTTAGAAGGATTAAGGGTTTATTAAGAAATGCATTTCGCTGAAGGCTGGCAAAAGAGGAAGCCGGAAGCCGGGTGAAAAAGCTACGTTGCTCAAATAGTTAAGCAAATGCAAAGCAAGTCAAGATAAAGTAGTCAATGACTTTTTTATAGAAAAAAAGTCAAACGAGCAGCTAAACTGATTTTAGATGAGCTAAAAAAAGATAATAAAGACAGGACAGATGAAGGGAAAAAGTGGAACAAGATGTTCAAGGAGTCTGAAAATTAATGATTAAATTTCGCTGCCATTTAAAATAGAGGAAAGAGGATGTTGAAAAAGTTCCTGACAAAAGTTTATGGAAATTTCAAAGAGATATTTAATACCATGTCTTTCAAAGAAATTAAAATTTAGCTTGATAACAAATAAAGCATAATTTTTTGAGAATGTATAAAAAATTAAGCAGAATCTCTGCAACATGTATGCATCAGGAATTTGGATGAAAACAACCATCTACCAAATATTTAAACAACCAACCATAAGTGCAGACAACTTTATCAGCAGAGCAACAACCATATAACAATAAAAACACTTAGGCAGATGGTCAGCCACTCAAATGTAATGCATTTCAATTAAATGCAATAAATTAAATATAAATCCAGCACAGACTATCTAACCATATGCCTCTGTAGCATGACCCCCAGAAATGTTGCATAATTAATTAGCAAAGCATGTGGCGAGAGAACAAGGTCAACACTAGAATTCATTTCGTTTACAAAGACTGCAAATTATGCAGAAAATAAGATGGGAACTTAAGTTGAATACAGTATTTTGTTTATGAGGGTCGGTTTGCAAGTACCTTAAAAATCAATGTCACTATAAAATTAGTTAACTGAAATCCTGCAGAGTTGTATTATGAAGTTAACTTTCAGATTAACAAATAATGAAAATTACTTCTCTAGAAGTAGCTGTTAACTTAGAATTATAATGAAATAAATATACATTTTTTTGCAGTTTTGTTAGAGTTAACAGAGTTCTTACAGCTTCGAGTATAAGACAATACAAGAAACTGTAAACCGACTACAGTCTTATATTACACGTTAGGTGCCGATTTCTCAAGGTTTTTGGTTGTAATCTGTCAGCAAAAAAATCATGATTTTCAAGATAAACAAAGAAGCTATGGATTAAAATAAACATAAATAAAATGTATACAGTGTTGTTAGAGTCAAATTGTTTAGAAATACAAATTCGCCTTCTCAGTGTAATTTTAATTTTTTCTCACAAAAAAAATTCGGATTGCACCTTGTTTACCAGACTTTTGAAAACTTTACCCATTCCAACACGCCCATCTGACACCCTCTAAACCACCCACGCAGTTTGCTTACAAAGCTCTTGAGTGCGCTAAAAAGTTGTGAACGGCGAATTTTGTTCCTCTGCCATGCGAATACATGAATACGAACCCACAAGTGGCATCTCATTGGTATCCATCTAATGACATCCAGCTAGCAGCTGTCAAACAAGAATGATGACTACGAGTGACTCAATCTTTGACTGACAGCCAACTGAATTCTAAAGCATTTTAATTGCTGTCTCAACTGGCGCTGCTGGCTCAGCTTTAGTCGTAATTTCAGCTTAAGCTTTTTGCCCGTTGCATGCGGAATGAAAGGGCATAAATATGTTGACCTTGCACTCAGTCAGTTAGAAAGTGAAAGTGAAAGGGTGTGAGTGGGAGGGGGTATGCCGGCTGAAAAGCAAATTTGCATAATTTGCATGCAGCGGGGATGCGATGCGATGCAATTGCACTCAAACCAAGCATGGAATTTAGTTGTTAGCGACAAATTGTGGCCCAGTCAACACCTCAAATCCCAGACCCACCCACAGTTTTAGCCATATTCCGAAGTTGCCTCTCTCACTTTACCACCGTCTGTGCGGTGTCTGTGGGGATTTCTGGCTAAAAAGGACGAAGAAGACTAAAAGGACTGAGAAGGCTAAAAGGACGACGACAATGTTGGCGACGACGCTGTGTTGACGACTTTTGCCATTGAGACAGCCAAAGTTTTTATGGCAATTTTCATCAGAGCCAGACACTTGAAGTGGGATCTCCATCCTTGTTGTTGCTAGTTGCATGAATATGGAAATTTTAACATAAATTGCAACCAAGTTACACTTTTTCATTCATTCGCATTTCCCTCATAGGCTTGGCCTGAATAAAGTGGAAAAGTTTTCACCGTATAAAAAAAATAATATGAAAATAAAATGGCACAGCTTAAAATATGTACTGTGAAATACAGTTTAACGCAAGAATAATTACATTTACAAAACAAGACCAGAACATTGTTTGGGGTGTTTTAAGGGCAAACTGAAGTTGGGTGTTTCAAGAAATTAACTCAAGAAAATATGGTAAACCAAAATTTAAAATTTACAATGATTTTGCATACCAATTTAAACAAAACACGTATCAAAGCTTTCAGGTCATTAAATATTCGGTAGTTTTTTTCTAATAATGATAACAAAATTCTGAACAGCCAATTCGATTGGAAAAAAAATGAATATAAAATTGAGCTGTATATAAGCTACGAAAATCCTTTCATAGAACGAATTTTAAAATATTTTGGTTTCAAGAATTCAGCAATTAGAAATTTAGCATGCAACTGGAATTCATCTCAATAGTTTATGACCCAATTAGCATTATTCATGCTGTTGCCACACGAATCGGTCTATACCCTTTTGCCATCGTTTTTCTGTCCTGGCAATGTGTGAAAATGTACCAAAAGAAAGCAAACTATCAAAAGCTCAATATGTGTACAGAACACTTGTTTCAGATCCTGTCCTTAGACAGCTCTAAATCGGAGTTGCAGAGGACAGAAAAAATATGGGTAAAACTCGCAAAATGTCAACACGCTGAGATGACAGAGGAGGTGAAAGGATAAAGCCGAGTGCACAGATTTCATCCAGCTCAATTTTGCAGGATTTACCGGATCGTGAGGACCTCAAACTTGGACAGGTATCCTGCCTCACCCATTAGACAACCCTTTACTGAGCTTTTGAGCAGCATGCCTGAGCGGAGTTTACTCGGCAGGGGAAAGTGTGAAATTTGTGTGACCCGGTTACGCATGGTGTGATTCAGTCTGGATCGATATATAGTAGTCTCCGTCATCCATCCATTTCCGTTGGGCATCCGGATGTCCGGTTGATTGCTCGTCAGCTTCGCCTTTACACTGTGCAGAGCAAATAACATTTTTACAGTCGCTCTTTGATTTGATTTTGAGTGCAAACCTGATGGATGCGCATTGATCATTGCCCCACGGCAATGTGTACACCGGTGTCGCATCGAAGTCACCACTTTGGTTGCAACTTTGCGGCATATTTGTTTACCAGTGGCAATCCTTTTTCCCATACTTCTTGGGTGTTCACTGCATTTTGGCCAGCGCCATGGCTTCCGTCGCCTCGTCCTGCATCAGACTTAATTAAGTTTTTGTCCCGGTCCCGCTGATGCCGATGTTGCTGCTCGGTGGCTCTGTGGCATTGTTTACATGCCAGCCAAATGCCCAAGCCGAGTAAAAAAAATAAACAAAAATAGAAAACTAAATAAATGCTGAACAGTGCAACAAAGTAAGGCACACAATTTATAGGGTGTCGGATAGTGAAGGCTCTTGTGTGTTTAAACGTGTTAAAATAACGTTTGGTTGGTAAAAAGAAAACTTTGTAAGTGAAAAATAATTTTTCAATTATTTATACATTATCCACAACGCAATAACAAAAGGTAGAGAAAACTAATTCGTATTAAAAATTCAATGTAACGAAAGCTAGACGAATTAACAGCGAGCGGTACAAACTAGGTTAAATAATTATTGTCTACTTTTGCTCTAAGCACCTTCTAATTGCCATTGTTAATTTGCGAGCATATTTCACTGGGAAGCAGCTTTAAATTGCCCAGAGTGGGAAAAACTCTGTGTGGAGGTAACCAGAACCACAACCAAAACCTAAACCAAAGCGGACAATGAAGCGTGAAAAGCGGAAACGGAAATTAAGCGACTGCAGAGCTCCAGATCCTGTGGCAGGACATCGCCGTCGCCATTGCCACGTCACTTGCCACGCGGTGGTCATTGTCCAGTTTCCATTCTCCACTGGCCCACTATTGTGCACTTGGTTTTCCGCGGAGGCAAGGAAAACTCAAAGGGAGGAATAGAGGCGGTTTCCGCGGGCTCCACTGTACGGTCCGCCTCTCGTTTGAGTGCTGCAATTTGCAGGCGGTGTTGGCGCATTTTGTTTATTCTCTCTATTGGCTGATCTTTTTGCCTTTGGTCACTTAAGTAAGCTGAATATATACGGGTTTTTTGAAAAAGCGAAAAAGCTTGCATCAATTGCAGCTTTAGAATTTAAAGAAATTATACACAGAATTAATTAGAAGCCTTATGTACATATATATATTTAAGTTGTAAGCATGCGCTTAGAGTCTGTGTAATTTACAAGTGCACTTCCCCAACACCCTTTTTTCTTACAAATGTTCACCAACAATTTTTTGTTTTATAAGTTTTGGAAAATTAAATTAATATGTAATTTTTAAAACCGTTTTTTTTCTTAAGAAATAAAATGTATCAGTAACAGATTTTTTCTAAAGTTCTTTAGTTATTTGTTAAGAAATACCGCTAATCCCAACCAAATTGTTTCCCGCCCATGTTGAAAAGAAATGATATTGGTGCTTAAAATGTATTTATTTACTTAATAGAATTTACAAGGACTGCTGTGCTGGGCATTGCTGATGACGACACAGGGACCATGCTGGACCTTTACGGAGCTCTCGCTGCGCCAGTCGCACTCGATGGGCACGAACTGGCCCTTACGCATGACAGTCTTGGGCTTGGTGATGCCGTAGCAGGCGTACTGGAAGACGCTCCTCGAGATGGGCAGGCACTGCTCGTAGATCTCCACGATGTCCGCGTGCATGCTGTCCACGGAGAAGTCCTGGCCGCAGCGCAGCTTCTGATGGATGTGCAGCTTGCTGCTCCTCGAGAACTGGGTGCGACACCTGCGACAGTGGAGATCCTTCATGGGCGAGCCGAGCGGGTCCCTTTCGATGGACTTGACGGGGGTGGAGAGCTCGTGCAGCCGCTGGAACTGCCCCATTATGTTGTTCAGGATGAGGAAGTTCTTGTTGGGCAGCTGCTGGAGGGTTTCGCTGATGTGGTAGGGCACCACATACAGCTCCTTGGTGGTCTTGCACTGCTGCAGCCCGTAGAGATTGACCCGCATGTTGGGCGGGAAGTAGCCGTTGCATTCGCGGAAGTGCTTCAGGTAGGCGGAGCGCAGGCTGGCCAGTTCCGATTCGCTGGTGGAGGTGGTGGACAGACCCTCCTCCTGCTTCAGCTGCAGGGGCAGCGGAAAGTGGACCGACTCCGCGCTCTGGCTCTCCGCATCCACCCGAATCCGCTTCACCTGCACCCTCAGCCTGGTGATGCTGCACTCGTCCATCCCATACTCACTGCTGCAGTGCAGGTAGTTCTCGATCCGCTGCATCAGCATCTCATAGACCACTCCCACACTCTCGTCCACGTCGTAGTGGTGATCCACTCGGAGGGATCCGCTTTGGAAGATCAGCACCTGGTCCATGGAGTTTACATAGCAGGCCAGACTAAACTCCACGGCCACCGTGTTGTTCTGGAACATCCAGCGAAGCAGCTCGGGCACTCCCCGGGCACAGGTCTCCCCCATGAAGTGGTCCAGTTTGTCTTTGGAGCTCTCGTCGCAGAAGAAGAAGGTCTCGATTTGGCGGGCCTCGATGATGTCCAGGACGGCCTGCTGCTGCTTGGTGAGCTGCAGTCCCTGGGAGGCCTCTCCGCCACGTAGCCAGTGCTGGGATGGCGGCTCATCGGCGTGGATGGAGCTGTAGCAGGTGGGGCACTCGTGCATCTGGCCCTGGGCAAACCACTGGTGGTGGAAGGTCTGCGTCGTCTCGTCGTTGGAGAACACAAAGCTGGAGATTGGCTCCTCGTCGTACATGATTGTGGTATGGCAATTATATAACTCTCAAATGTCGAGGAAATTTAAAATTTGTTTGGCTATTTTCCCAAGTTATGTTTACTTGAAATTAGCTTTTCACTATTTCGGTTTGCTGAGGAATAACACTTCACAATCGTTTCAGGAATACTGAGATGTGTCTAGGACAAGATTCAGTTGCTGACTGATACTTTTCACCTCATCGGATGGGCTTATATACAAACTAAAGCTGGAGTGTAGGGTATCAGGTAGTTGGAACTATTACCTGTTGCAGGTATCATGCATCCTTTGGGTGGGATAACATCTGCATCCTTTGGGTGGAATTACATCTGCCTGTGGGATATTCCATTTACCTAATCCCTCATCTATTTATGACACTTTAGGGTGTGCTAATTGTCGGGATCCATAGCAGCTGCGCGATCATAAAAGTTTTTAGGTAAGCTTGAGTTGGTAAAATCACCATTATAACTTATCCTTTTTAGTTCAAAATAAGAGAATGACGATTTTAGTAAAGTACACTCGTATTACTTTTTAGATATTGAAACCCGAACTCAGTTGGTTTTACAGAAGCTAACTGTCCTCTTCAAAAGTCAGAATATTAAATAATAATTTAATATTTTGGATTACATTTTTTATTATACTTTGTTATAATAAAAAATTTCATCTACTGCATTTGCTTACAAATAAGATTTAGCCGTGTTTTAATTTCCTTTGAAACCCAAAATCAGTTGAGCAATCATAAAAAATCTAAGATGAATCCAACATCCATAGTTTCAGAAAACATCCAAAAAATCTAAAGATAAAATGGGAATTTTCCCGCAGTCTGACATGATACTAAAGAGAAACGTTAAAAATGCACAGTAAAACAAAGTCAAATAAAAGTGTTTTTCGCGAATCACCCACACATCGCACCACAAGCCATTTATTGCGGTTTAATTCGCGTGGCAGAGAGCTAAAAAAAGAAGAAAAAAGATAGATGGAAATGTCCAAACTAACGGCAAATTCCTCTCTTGGCCAACTGCTAATTAGTCAGCGGTTTTGATGGAGGAAGGTAAACGGGTAAAAAACTTTTCATTTGATATTACTGTAAATTTTCCTTTGATTTTAAGTGGTTAATAAATGAAATCTGCAATAAAGAGTTTTTGCATAACAAAAAAATATTGAAAACATATTACGTATCAAATATCACAAGCATTTATTTTATGAATTTTAAGAATCGTATATGAAATTCGAGTTTTTCAAAACTTTATTGTCAATAAAGATACAAAATTAAGTGTTTATAAACGTAGACAAGTTCCTTTCTCAAAAAAATATTCTAAATATTCAAGCTAATATATTAAAAATAAATTTTTTTAAACATGGACAAAATAAAAATATAAATATTTGTTGCAACTGTATTATTTTTCATTCTCATGAGAATTATTCTAACTATCTTGAAGTTACAAATTTCGAAATTTACTGGAAGCTCTCTCTGCTTGTTGAATGCCTTCGATTTTATTAAGAGTTTAGATTTTTAATCAACTTTTAGAATATTCCCAATAACCCCTGATATACAAAGAAGGCTTTAAAATGTAAAGATGTTTCTTCAGTTGTGAAAATAATGAAATCCGAGTTGAAAAAATTATTTTATAGTCAGTGCAGCAACAGAACAGACCACAATTCCCTCAGGGACGAACTCAAGTGTCACAACACGTAAGTCAACACTTGGAAATTGGATTATTAGAGCGGCGCGTGTGTACACACGGCACAATGGCAGACGAGGGATCCGGCAAATTGGACTGGAAGTACTCCAAGACGACGACCAATGTCGATTGGGCAACCAACGAGGCACAAAACAAGCATTCTAGGAATGCGGGCCCATTTAAAATTCAGCAAGGAGCCAGAAGTCCAGGACAAAGCAGCTTTGGAATGCGCTTTAAGAGCCATCCATAATTCAGTGAGCAGCCAGCAGGTGGGAGAGTTGGACAACAGCCTGAACAAGTAAATTTTCGTCTGGAGTCCTTGGATTTGTGCAATGGATTGATGCTGATATGCATTGCCTAAAGTTTTGTTCATTTAATTGTTTTAAATCGTTCGAAGGATTAAAGATACGATGATCCGATCTTACAAATCAATGTCACAGCAGCATTTATAAAATAAAGGTCTCAAATAAATATCACTTTCAGCCCCAAATAGTAACTTAATTTCTTAGAAAACTATGAATTTATCACATTTAAGTAACTACTGAACAGATAGCCCACCACTTGCCTTGAACACCTTTTAGTCAATAGATTTAATAACTAGAAATTTATTTAAGAAAGTGTATTTTTGTTACTCATAAATGGAGACAAGGGCTTCTTATAAGCGCCTAGAAATTGTTAAAAATCTTTTCACACCACAAAAATAAACCTATTTTACATAAAAGGAAATGCTTTTACATAAAATATTTTAGTCAGAAGAAATGGTGTCAAACAACTATAACAAACGTTATATAAATAAGATACTTCCCAGTATGTCCCCAAGTTATGGGAACAATCAGAATCATGTAGAACTCATAAAAACCACCCAAACCGAGTTTCGGCTAGACATTGGTCATTGTTTTGGTTTTGATTGCCCAGACGGCAATCGCAAGGACAACAAGTGCAGAATATAGCCCTCCAGAGACTTGGGGCTTTAACTTTAAAGCCATTTCTCAAAAAGCCCAAGCCTGTCAGATCGCATATCGCAAATCGATTTTTCTTTCTCGGCTATGTTTTGGTTATAAATTACAAAGCGAAATGACATGTCGTCCCTCGTCAAAATCGCCGGCGCTTAATAAATCGTGTGCAATTTTCGCTTGGCCATTTTTTGCACTCTGCGTGAGACTCATTATAGCCGTCACGCCCTAATCCCAAAGCGTTGTAATAATAATTCAAATACGGCGGCACATTAGTTCCGCCATTTTGAGCAGCCAGTGTACAATAAACGATGGGCCAACAGGTTGTGACAAGTGGATTTGGTCGAGACCAGAGGCTTTTACTATTTGTAAACACTTCATAAATGTCGGAGAAAGTTATTAAATTTAGTATTTCAATAGCAGTGTGACGACACACGGAAAAAATGGCAGTTATCTCAAGCGAATACAAATTATTTTAAAAGAAAGTAAACACATTTTACCACACAAATGGTATTTAATTTAGGTTTAATGGCAAGTTTTTTTTGGAATTCTATTGTACTTGTAAGTTTCTGTTAATTTAATCATTTAGCACACTAGTTTTATTCCAACACTTCGAAAATGACTAATAATACTAAAACGTATTTTATGACCAGTAATTTTTTTGAAATTACAATATAATTGTAAGTTTAATGTTCTGTTAATTTAATCATTTAGCCGACTAGTTTGGTTTTAAAATAAACGTCTTTACTACACCCACAAATTCTGTTAATACTAAAACGTGTTTTTATTTTTGTAATTTCAAGTCGGCTATTATTTTCAGTGTAGAGTAGAATGATTGATAGTCATGAGGGAAAGGGGCACAAAAGCCTTCTCTGAATCGGAAGACATGAGCCCATAAAACGTTTTCGGCAAAATGCTCATCAAGTAGCCATACAATAAATAATAGAACAGTCAGAAACATTTGATGGAGAACCATAAAAATGCAGCACACCCAAAAAAAAAAAGCAAAAAAGGCTACACCAGCTCATTCAAATTGTAGCCATGTACACATAAGGAGCAGACAAAAGACATAAAGTAAATGAAGCGCCACACAAAATGGAGACTTCAGATGAGTAGTTTCAACTCCCAGACGATGTGACGAGTATTTCATTCTATTTCCATTTGCACATTCCCGTAACTCAGTTGCCATTCAAAGGAGAAGGCAGAGCCACAGTCGAATCGAAATCAATTGTAACACACAATGAAAACAGTTTTCATACACAATAAATGCTTACCGCACACATTGAGATACTCGCAGTACTCTACACTCCAATAATATATTTTGAAAGACAACATACAAATTTCTTTTGTAATATTTTGGAAATTTAAAAAGGCTTAGCAAACAAATACAAGTTTTATTATCAACTCAACAACAAGAATTCATCTTTACATCTTTAAGCAACGCTTTATGCCCATAACATTTGGGGAACTAACTAACGAACTTTTTAAGAAAATATAACCAATAAATATTTTAAGAAAATAAAAAAGGGAAAAACCCCTTAGTTTGCACTTTTTCTTAGTGTTGATTCCCAAACGAAAAAGCTGCTCCTGCTTTAATATAAAAATAATCATTTAAGCAAGATGTCAGGACCCAATCTACCAGGCTTTTGTGGAACAATGGACGACTGTGGATGAATCGTATGTGAATCGTATGACTGGCTGACACCAAGCTGTCGAGATAGGGCTTAACATCAATCGCGACTTGACAGACTTTGGCAATGCTTAACCTTGAAATGCTCGAATTCAAAATGGTTATTATGTCTGGCTTTTAGGGGGTGTATGACATGCCAATTGTGCACGGTTTTGTGTTTCAATAAGTGAATTTTCAATGAACAAGCTTAGCGCACATTGATTTCACCTACATTGACTCGAATAAAATGATTTATTTCAGGACTTTTTGTATATGTGTTTTGGAAATCTCTTTAGAACTAAAATTAATGGCTTTTTACCATTAAATAAATAACACTAGATTGAACATTTGAAAACAGAGAGTTTTTTTTCATGTCTAATCTAGTTTTATATTTTGCCTTTAAATTAATAACACTAGATTAAACATATGAATAATATGTTTATAACATATTTATTATTATTTAAAATAATAATTAAAATAATTTTTTCATATATTCACTCTAGTGTTATCATAAAGTTGTATAATTATGTTTTATTGATTTGTAATAATATTTATATACCTTTAGTTTTTTTTTTTTTTTTTTGTTACCAAAAGTTACTAGTATAGGTTTTTATTGATTTAAACTTTTGCTTTCATAAAAAAAAGAGGAGACTTCTTTTATAACCTACGGTATCGTCCATATCGCTGATTACTCTCTACGGTAAATTTTAATACTCTTGTTTCTGGCTACAAAAAGAGAAGCTTT